GAGGAACAGCAGATCCCTGGGATCCAGCACAGAAACAACCCCAATCCCTAATCCAGGAACAGCAGCAGATCCCTCTGATCAGGGAACAACCCCAATCCCAAATGCAGGAGCAGGAACAGCAGATCCCTGGGATCCAGCACAGAAACAACCCCAATCCCAAATCCAGGAACAGCAGCAGATCCCTCTGATCACAGAACAACCCCAATCCCAAATCCAGGAGCAGGAACAGCAGATCCCTGTGATCCAGCACAGAAACAACCCCAATCCCTAATCCAGGAATAGCAGCAGATCCCTCTGATCCCAATCCCAGCCCCAGGAACAGCAGATCCCTGTGATCCAGCAGGGGAACAACCCCAATCCCTGATCCCTCAGCTTCAGCACAGCAAGTTTAATATAAAAAAAAATATTTTATATATATATAATAAAGATACAAAATATTTTTATGTATTTATAAAATACATATTTAATATAAAATCTCTAAAAAATGTTTGTTTGGGAGCAGCTGGAGTTGGAACTCCAGCCTTGCCTGTCTCTTGTATCCAACTTTTCCCCACTTTTCATCTGGGAAAAGTCTCAGACTTGCCTGGATTTTCCCTTCTCCCAACTTTTAGCTCCAAGTGCTCAGGCCAAGAGCCCAGCCCAGCCCTGACTGTCACTCCCAGTGAGCCACCAGTCCCTGCCAGTGCCCAGCTGGGGCCAGGGAGGGGACAGGGAGGGGGTGGGCACCATCCCATCTGCCACCCAGCCATTCCCAAAGATTTCTGCTGGATTTCTGGCTGGGGGAACGGCAGGACTGGAGGAAGCCCAGCCCTCTTCCTCCTGCTCTCCCAGAAGAAAGAAACTCAGGAATTTGGCAGGGGGCCACAGGCTTGAACAGAGAGGACCCTGTTTGGAAAAGCAGCCTCTTCCCTGCCAGGATAAACGTTGCTTTTCCACCCCCTTCTCCTGGATCAGAGGACCTTTTCCCTCCAAATCCAGGAAATTTGGGAAGGCTGAGCTCCTCCTGGGATGTCCCCAGCCAGGCCCAGCTCTCCTGGAGTTTCTGCTGTCCCAGGATACTCCTGGGAGCAGCTGAGAAAGAACCAACCCCAAATCCAAGCCTGGAATTTTCCCTTTTTTTTCCCCCACATCCCAAGCCACTGGAAAATCCTCCAGCAACTTCCAGCTGCTCCCTTTGCTTTCAGACAAGGAAAATGGGGAGAAGGAAGGATTCTGGGGGGCAGTTTCTGTGCTCAGTGCTGGGCTGGGAAGGGTTAAAGCAGCAGCGGCATCAAAGGGAGCCCCCAGAGAGGGGGGTGAGAACCCGAGGTTGCGCAGACTCCTTGGAATGTCAGGAATTTCCCATTATTATCCCACTTCCCTGGCAGGGAGAGCACGAGAACAGGACCCTAAGCCTGGGGATGGGCAAATCCCACAGGGCCAGGGGGGCAAATTTTGGGTCAGGACACTCAGAACAGCTCAGGGGGCTCAGCTCTGCCAGGGCAGACCCTCCCCAGCCCAAAATCATCACCCCCTCCAAAAGGCAGAGCCCACCTGCCTCAGCACACATGTCTTCCCCAAAAAAACCTCAAAATTTCCTGCTTTTCCCCCAAAAAACTGGAGCTCCAACAGTGCTGTTCCCCCACAAATAAATCAATTTATTTTCAGCCCGTTATTTGCATTGTCACCCCGGTGAGACCCCCAAGAAATGCCATTCCCTGCCCAAATTGGAATTTAATAAATTTCCTCTCAGCCCAGCTGAACTCTTGGATTTTGGACAAGCCACAGCCACCCCCAGCACCCAACCCCAGCAAAAAAAAAAACCAAACAAACAACCTAAAAAACCCCCACGGAAATGGGAGGGTCTGGCCAAGCTCTGCTCTCACCACTTCTCCTTTCCGTGTAACTCAGAAGAGTAAATTTAAAGAGCAAAAGTAAAAACTTTAAGAGTAAAAATATTGGGAATATTGGGAAGAAATTCCCCCCTGTGAGGGTCTTTCACAGGTTGTTCCATCCCTGAAGTGTCCCAGGCCAGGTTGGATGGGTTTGGGGCACCCTGGGATGGTGAAAATGGGGCTGGATGGGATTTAAGGTCCCTTCCCACCCAAATCACCCTGGAATTCCCTGACTCCTACAGGGATCTTGTCAGGATCAGCATTTTTAAAGCACCCTGTGATCAGAACCCCCTAATCCAGCACTTAGGAATTAATTACATTAATTATATTCTCTAGTTTTCCTTCTAACGACTGCCAGTGCATAAAGAGCAGCTAAAAAAAATCGGATTTTCAAGCTGCCTTTTAGATATTAGAAGCATTTTGGGTCCACAGGGTCCTTCTGGATAATGGGAAAAAAAAAAAAAAAGGTTAGAAGGGAACATCCAGTGCTCAGGAACAGGTGGAAAGGGCCAGGAAAAAAAGGGCCCAGAGGAAAAACAAAATTAAAAAAAAAAAGGAAAGAAGAGGAAAAAAAAAAGGCCCAGAGGAAAAGGAGAGGGAAAAGTGTTCAAGGAAAAAAAAAAGAGGCTCGGGACAAAAAAAGGACCCAGGAAAAAAAAAATAAAAAAAACCCAGAAAAAAAAGGCCCAGAGGAAAAAAAAAAAAAGGAAAAAAAAAAGGGCCCTGAGCTCTTGCTCCACCCTGCCCTGCCTCCATCCCCCACACCAAGGCTTTCACCTCCCAGGTTTATTTACCTTGGGATTCTTTCCCTGCCAGGAAATTCAGGTGGCTGCACCCAGCCCAGCCTGGCCTGGTGAGCCCTGCACAGAGGGAATTTCAGGGGCTGTTCCCAGCAAAAAGGGAATTTCGGGGCCTGTTCCCTGCACAGAGGGAATTTCTGGAGAAATTGCAGAATTTCTGGAATTCCTGCTCCTGGAGAGCTCAGGATGCCCTACAGAGCCCATGCCAGGGTGAGGAGTGGAGTTTGAGAGAGGAATATCCAGGAGATCCCACAGGAGACCCCACAGAAAATGCCACAGGAGATACCCCAGAGGAGACCCCACAGAAGGGTGCCCCACACAGGAGAGACTCCCACAGCACAGGAGACCCCCAAAGGAGGATCCCCCACAAAATCCCACAGCAGACTCCACAGGAGGCCCCAAAGGAGGATCCCCCAGGAGATCCCCACACAGGAGAGACCCCATGAGGGTCCCACACAGGAGGAGGCCCCACAGAAGGGTGCCCCACACAGGAGAGACTCCCACAGCACAGGGGATCCCCATGGGAGGGTCCCACACACACCACAGAAGACCCCCAAAGGAGGATCCCCCACAAAATCCCATAGCAGACTCCACAGGAGGCCCCAAAGGAGGATCCCACAGGAGGATCCCCACAACAGGGCCCTGCACAAGGAGGATCCCACACAGGAGGAGATCCCATGGGAGGATCCCCACAGGAGTAGATTCCACACAGCAGGGTCCCACACAGGAGATCCCACACAGAAGGAGACCCCACACAGGAGAGACTCCCACAGCACAGGAGACCCCCAAAGGAGGATCCCCCACAAAATCCCACAGCAGAGTCCACAGGAGGCCCCAAAGGAGGATCCCCCAGGAGATCCCCACACAGGAGAGACCCCATGAGGGTCCCACACAGGAGGAGGCCCCACAGGAGAGACCCCCACAGCACAGGAGGATCCTCAATGGATCCCACAGGAGGATCCCCACAACAGGGCCCCACACAAGGAGGATCCCACACAGGAGGAGATCCCATGGGAGGATCCCCACAGGAGTAGATCCCACACAGGAGATCCCACACAGAAGGAGACCCCACAGAAGGATGCCCCACACAGGAGAGACCCCATGAGGGTCCCACAGGAGAGACCCCCACAGCACAGGAGGGGATCCCATGGGAGGATCCCCACAGGAGGGTCTCACACAGCACAGGAGACCCCTCATAGCACAAGAGGATCCCCCACAGGAGACACCCCCATAGGAGGGTCCCCCACCACAGAATCCCCCCAGTGGGCCCCACATGGGAGAGACCCACACAGGAAGGGCCCACACAGGAGGATCCCCCACAGCACAGGAGAGACCCCATGGAAGGATCCCCCACAGGAGAATGCCCCACAGCACAGGAGACCCCAGTGGACCCCACAGGAGATCCCATGGAAGGTCCCAGAGCACAGGAGGGAGACCCCCACAGCAAAGGAGGATCCCCACAGGAGAGACCCCCATAGGAGGGGCCCACACAGGAGGGTCCTGACAACAGGGCCCCACACAGGAGGATCCCCAGAGCACAGGAGACCCCCATGGGAGGATCCCCACAGGAAAGACCCCCACAGCACAGGAGACCCCCAACAGACCCCACAGGAGGGTCCCCACAACAGGAGATCCCATGGGAGGATCCTCACAGGAGGGTCCCCCACAGAAGGGGACCCCCACACAGGAAGGTCCCACAGGAGGGACCCCACATGGCAGGAGACCCACAGAAGGTCCCACAGCACAGGAGACCCCCAGTGGATCCCACAGGAGGATCCCACATAGGAGGGTCCCACAGGAGAGACCCCACAGCACAGGAGATCTCACAGCAGGCCCCATAGCAAGAATCCCCCCCAGAAAATCCCACAGCAGGCTCACACACAGGGGAGTACCCCAGCAGGGATCAGCCCCAAAAACCCCACAGGAGAGGATCCCCACAGCACAGGAGACCCTCAGTGGACTCCACAGGAGGCCCCCACACATCGGGGTTCCACACAGGAGATCTCACACAGAAGGGGACCCCCACACAGGAGGGTCCCACAGGAGAGACCCCACACAGCAGGAGAGCCACAGAAGGTCCCACAGCACAGGAGGAGATCCCACACAGGAGGATCCCCCCCTACAGCACAGGAGACCCCCAGTGGATCCCACAGGAGATCCCACATAGGAGGGTCCCACAGGAGAGACCCCACAGGAGATCCCACAGCAGGAATCCCCTCAGAAAATCCCACAGCAGGAGATCCCCACAGGAGATCCCACACAGGAGGGTCCCCACAGGAGGGATCCCCCAGAAAAGCCCCCAGGACCCCCCTCAGTGGGCACTCACGCGTTGCAGTAGGGCTTCTTCTCGTAGCCCTTGTAGTTCTTCATGTTCAGGGTCATCTTGCAGGTCTCGCAGTGGAAACATGATTTGTGCCAGAACTGCAACACAAAAAACCCCAACCATCAGCACCAGGGATCCCAAACCCCCACTGGAACCCCACAGTTCTCACCCAGCATGGCAGCAGTGCCACCTGTAACCCTGGGAAAACCAAATTTTCCTTCTAGGAATTGCCAGTGCATAAGGAGCAGCTACAAAAATGGGATTTCCAAGCTCTTTTTTAGATATTAAGAAATACTCTGGCTCCACAGAGCTCAGGACCAGCCAGGAAAGGGGAGTACAAATCAGGATCCTTCTGGATAAGGGGGAAAAAAAAAGGTTGGTTAAATGAGCACAGGGAATATCCTGGTTAATTTAGGATAAAATTCCATCTCTCCTGATCTTCCCAAGTGCCAGGGGAGGTTTTTTTTCCTTCCATAAAACCAGGAATTCACGGATAGGAAAAGCTCCTTCTGCAAGTGACACCTCAGCAGAGGGAACAGCTGTGTTTGGAGGTTCAAAGCTGCTGCTTTGGGTTTATTTTTTTATTTTATTTTATTGCTGTTCTCTGCTCAGTGCCAGCCAGAAGAGCAGGTCAGGTGAGGCTGCACGAGCCAAGCAGGAAAAGGTTCTCATGGGAAGCAGACACAGACCCACAAGAAAGACACAATCCCAAAAAAAGCCAGACCCTGACCCCACAGCCTGGGCTGTGACAAACCCTAAAGGAGAATTTTAAGGTTCTTTTTTAGGGCTGCTCCTAAAGAAATTATTCCCACCTGGCTCTGAGCTGGGCCCAGGCTGGGAGGAGCCTGAGGACAGCTCAGAGCTGGAGTTAAAGGTTGGATTTGATGATCTGGGAGTGAAATTATTCTGATTTTGTGATTCTGAGCTCACACAGACTGAGTTCAAAGTCCTGCCAGAGTCCGGACTCCTCCTTTCCACGGGGATTTGTGGGGTCTGGTGGGAATTCCCAGGGCCCAGAGAGGAATGGGAATTTCCTCCTGGAGCAGGGAAAAAGGGAAAGCACAGCCTGGAGCAAAACCTTCACCCCTGACAGCCGGTCCTGCCCTAGGGCAAGCCCCCAAAAAATCAGGGAAAACTCCACCAAAAGCCCAATTAGCAGCTCCAAGCCCTAATTAGAGCACAGGCAAGTGTCCTTTAACACTCAGCCACCACACCCAGAGTGCCCAGCTGCTGCTTTTTGCTGGGATTTCCACTTGAAACCCTGCAAGGAGCCGATCCCCCTCTCCAAGGCCAGCCTGGATCTGTGTCCCCGCAGGGACCAAGCCCTGCTGTCACCTGCCCAGGTGCCACACCCCGTGCACAAACACTGCCAGGCTCTGGGGACGTGACTCAGCCCTGGAGAGGACAATCCTCCTCCTTTTCATTGCTCTCAGACACAGATTTGTTCCTCCCCTCTGCTCACAGCAGTTCCTCCAGCTGCAGGGGTTTTGCTCCTCCGTCCTCTCTCCCAGGGTGGTTTTGCCCCTTTCCCAGTTTTTTGGGCTCCTGTAGGATGGATCAGCAGCTGGAGCCTGAGTTTTTGGGGCTGTTCTGGGGGGTGAAGGGCCCTTTGCAAGCCCTTCCCAGCAGGAGCTGCCAGGGATGGCACCGTGGGTCTGCAGGGAGGCAGCACAACCCCAGAGCCTTCTCCTTAAGGAATGTCCCAGCTTCCAGGAGGATCTGGCACAGCCAGCAGATCCCTGGGGTCCAGCAGAGGAAAAACCCCAATCCCAAATGCAGGAACAGCAGCAGATCTCTCTGATCCCAATCCCAAATGCAGGAACAGCAAATCTCTCTGATCCAGCAGGGAAAGAACCCCAATCCCAAATCCAGCAGCAGCAGATCCCTGGGATCCAGCAGGGACACAACCCCAATCCCAAATCCAGGAGCAGCAGCAGATCCCTCTGACCCCAATCCCAGAACCAGGAACAGCAGCAGATCCCTCTGATCCAGCAGGGAAAGAATCCCAATCCCAGTTCTGGGAGCAGGAACAGCAAATCCCTGTGATTCAGCAGGGAAACAACCCCAATCCCAAATGTGGGAACAGCTACAGATCCCTCTGATCCAGCAGATCCCTCTGATCCCAATCCCAGCTCCAGGAACAGCAGCAAATCCTTCTGATCCTAATCCCAAATCCAGGAACATCAAATCCCTCTGATCCAGCAGGGAAAAAAACCCCAATTCCAGCTCCAGGAACAGCAGCAGATCCCTGGGATCCAGCAGGGAACAACCCCAATCCCAAATCCAGGAACAGCAGCAGATCCCTCTGATCCCAATCCCAAATCTAGGAACAGCAAACCCCTCTGATCCAGCAGGGAAACAATCCCAATCCCAAATCCAGGAACAGCAGCAGATCCCTAGGATCCAGCAGGGAACAACCCCAATCCCAAATCCAGGAACAGCAGCAGATCCCTCTGATCCCAAATCCAGGAAGAGCAAATCCCTCTGATCCAGCAGGGACACAACCCCCATCCCAAATCCAGGAACACCTGCAGATCCTTCTGATCCCAATCCCAAATCCAGGAACAACAGCAGATCCCTGGGATCCAGCAGGGAAAGAATCCCAATCCCTGCTCCAGGAGCAGGAACAGCAAATCTCTGTGATTCAGCAGGGAAACAATCCCAATCCCAAATGCAGGAACAGCAGCAGATCCCTCTGATCCCAATCCCAAATCCAGGAACAGCAGCAGATCCCTCTGACCCCAATCCCACCCCTCAGCAGGACCACGCTCCCAGGCAGGCTCTGCTCCCATCCCAGAGCATTCCCAGCACATTCCTGCCCCAGTTCCCACCAGGAATTGCTCAGCAGGGCCATTCCCAGCCTGAGGCTCCTCCCAAGGGATCTGGGAAGAGATTTGGGATCTGGGATCCTTTGGGAAGTGTCCATGGAACATTTTTCCCCGTCCCCAGCCTCGCTGCCACCGCTCTCTGTCTCACAATTGGAGTGGAATTAATGCTGGATCCACAAAATCTGAGGCAGCACTAAAAGGAGGCTGGAGCAGGGCTGGACACAGGGGAGATGGAGTTATTTCAGCTTCCAGGAACGTTCTGCTCGCTGTGGAAAGAGGACAGGATCCAAATGGGGTTTGAGGGGAGGATGAACTCCCTGTGCTTCCCGATCCTGAGCCTGGAGGGGATCCCAGGTGACCCCACATCCCAGCAGGCTGGACAGGATTTTAGTTCTAAGTTTTGGAAACTCTTCTGACCAACATAACCTCAGTGGAAAATCACAAATTTAAAGGAAAACAGCCCTAAAACTTTCCAGGTTATCCAGGTGAGTGGGACAGAGGTAATCCATGCTGGGGAAATAAAGGATTCTTTAAGATTTATAATCATGGAATGGTTTGGGATGGAAGGGACCTTCAAACTCATCCAGTGCCACCCCTGCCATGGCAGGGTCACCTCCCACTGTCCCAGGGTGCTCCAAGCCCTGTCCAGCCTGGCCTTGGGCACTCCAGGGATCCAGGGGCAGCCACTGCTTTTCTTTTCCCACCAGGCAAAGCCTTTGCAAAACACCTGGGGCAAACCCCATAACATGGGAGCAAACCCCACAACACAGGGGGGCAAACCCCATAACATGGGAGCAAACCCCACAACACAGGGAGGCAAACCCCATAACATGGGAGCAAACCCCACTACACAGGGGGGCAAACCCCACAACACAGGGGGCGCAAACCCCACACACCATGGGGCGCAAACCCCACAACACACCCTGGGGAGCAAACCCCACAACACAGGGGGGGCAAATCCCACACACACCCTGGGGAGCAAATCCCATAACATGGGAGCAAACCCCACAGACACCCTGAGGACAAACCCCACAACACGGGGGGCCCCAGGATTTGAGGATAACCCCCAGAGGAACCCCCTGGGCTGGAGGAGACGAGCCCAGGGTGAGGCTCAGCTCAGGGCAAGCCCAGCCCAGCCCTCGGGTGTCACTTCCCCTGCGGAAGCCGGAGCCAGCAGTGGCACCGTCCCCGTGGGGGCAGGGACAGCGATGTCCCCAAAGCCACCTGGGGCACGCCAGGGCGCTGGGGAGGTGGTGATGCTCTGGGTTTTCCATAAATCCCAAAGGGAAGCGGGGTTTCCCTGGTTCTGGAAGGAAAAGCACATTCCAGACACACCAAGGTTGGGGCTGTGCCCTCCTGCTGCCAGCACGGCCCTGCTGCCCTTCGGACCCTGCCTGGGAAAATGGGGACAGGAGAGGGACACGAGGGGCTGGGAAAAGCAGGGACAGAGAGAGGAACTCCAAACAGGGATAGAGGCAACTCCAAAGGCTGGGAAATGCAGGGACAGAAAAATTCCAAGGGCCAGGAAAAGCTGGGACAGAGGAACTCCAAGGGTCAGGAAAATCAGGAATAGAGGAATTCCAAAGGCTGGAAAATGCAGGGACAGGGGAACTCCAAGGGCCAGGAAAGGCAAGAATAGAGGAATTCCAAGCAGGGACAGAGGCACTCCAAGGGTCAGAAAAAGCAGGACTAGAAGAACTCCAAGGCCTTGGGAAAAGCAGGGATAGAGGAAAATCGGGGAAAGAGAGAGGTACTCCAAGGGCCAGGGAAAGGAGGGACAGAGGAATTCCAAGGGCTGGTAAAAGCAGGAATAGAGGAACTCCAAGGCCTGGGAAAAGCATGAATAGAGGAATTCCAAGGGCCAGGGAAAGCAAGGACAGAGGAATTCCAAGGGCCAGGGAAAGCAGGACTAGAGGGACTCCAAGGGCCAGGGAAAGCAGGACTAGAGGGACTCCAAGGGTCAGGAAAAGCAGGAATAGAGGGACTCCAAGGGCCAGAGGAATTCCAAGGGTCAGGAAAAGGAAGGATAGAGGAATTCCAAGGGCCAGGAAAAGGAAGGATCGAGGAATTCCAAGGGCCAGGAAAAGGAGGGACAGAGAGAGGAACTCCAAGGGCCAGGAAAAGCAGGAATAGAGGAATTCCGAGGGCCAGGAAAAGCAGGAATAGAGGAATTCCGAGGGCCAGGAAAAGCAGAGACAGAGGAATTCCAAAGGACAGAGGAATTCCAAGCGGGGACAGGGAAAAAGCAGGGACAGAGGAACTCCAAGAGTGAGGAAAAGCAGGGATACAGGAATTCCAAGGGTCAGGAAAAGCAGGGATACAGGAATTCCAAGGGTCAGGAAAAGCAGGGATACAGGCATTCCAAGGGTTAGGAAAAGCAGGGATACAGGCATTCCAAGGGTCAGGAAAAGCAGGGATACAGGAATTCCAAGGGTCAGGAAAAGCAGGGATACAGGCATTCCAAGCAGGGCCAGAGGCACTCCGAGGCCTGCCCAGGATTTTATGGGAACTGGGGCAGCGTTCCGGGAAAAGGGCAGCCGGAGGCGCTCCGGGGCGGGGTGAGCCGCACCACGAACCGGCCGAGCCCCGGCTCCTCGGAAGAGGAAGTGGCTGAGGAGCCCGAGGAGGACAAGATGGTGACTGCAGGCTCCTGCCGGCTCCCCACGGCTGGATCAGAGCCTCCCCTGCTCCCCACGGCTGGATCAGAGCCTCCCCTGGAGCTCAGGGAGCCCCGGCTCATCCCCTTCCCTGCCGGCAATCCTGGGATCCCCCCTCCCTCCCGGTCAGCCTCAATCCTGACATTTCCCTTCCCCTCCAGTTATCCCCTACCCCCCTTCCCTATCAAATATCCAGAATCCACAAATCTTTCCAAATATCCCCAATCTCAGCACTCCTTTTCCCTTCCAGTTACCCCCAATCCCAGCACCCCTTTCCCCTTCCTGTCAGCCCCAACCCCAACACTCCCCCTCCTTCCCAATATCCACAATCCCCAAATCTTTCCAAAGCACTCCTTTTCCCTTCCAGTTATCCCCAAACCCTTCCCTTCTAAATATCCACAACCTCCAAACCCCTTTTCCCTTCCAAATTTTCACAACCCCCAAACCCCTTTCCAAATATCCACAAATCCCAAACCCCTTTTCCCTTCTAAATATCTACAACCCCAAACCCCTTTCCCTACCAAATATCTACAATACCAAAACCCCTTTTCCTTTCCAAATATCTACAGCCCCCAAACCCTATTCCCTTCTAAATATCCACAAATCCCAAACCCCCCCTTCCCTTCCAGTTATGCCCCAAGCCCTTCTCCCTTCCTATTGTCCCCGGTCCCAACACCCAGCAGCTCCTGGAGGCTCCCAGGGCCCAGAGTCACTCACAGCCCCAAATCCCAGGATTCAGGGGTGATAGTTCAGCTCCCAGCCATTCCCGGCCTCAGGAAGAAGCATCATCCCTTAAAAATGCGAGCAACAGGGTCTGCCGGAGCTCAGGAATGCCGCTGGAGAGCGGAGTGTTCTTCCCAGTTACTTTTTTTAGTCCCTAAACTGGTTGTCCCAGAAGCCTGGGAGAGGAGGGGGAGGAGAGTAAAGGAAATCCCATGGGAAGAGCAGAGGGAATGGAGCCCCACCATCACCTTCCTCACCTCCAGCTTCCACCAGAGCTTGGGTTTTGAGAGGAAAATGTTCCAAAAAAAATATTCCAGGTTAAGGGAGGCAGCCCCAGAGTGGAGGGATGGGATTTTGGAACAGGGAAGTAGCAACTGGGATGGAAGATTTGGAAAAAAAAAAAAAAAAAAAAAAAAAAAAAAAAAAAAAAAAAAAAAAGAGAAAAAAAAAGGGGAAAAAGCTCGATAATGGAAACCAGATGAGGTTCCCGGCTTCAGGGAAGCGTTAACTGTTGCTTTCCTTGGGCCTCCACACGGCTGTGCCGCCTTTGAATGGGAAATATTCCAATAAATAGAAATATTTGCTATGGAAGGAAGAGCTGGGGATGCTGCCGGAGCCCCCAGCGCAAAGAGCCCCGTCCCTGTCCCCTCCCCATGGGGACCCTCGGGACACCGAGGGCTCCAGGGACCCCCGGGACACGGCGGGGGAACGTGGAAATACCCCCGGGAAATTGGGGTGGGAAGGACCCAGATCCCCTGGGGTCCCCCCACGAGGGGATCCAATGTGGAAATCCCCCCGGGAAAAGCGGGGTTTGGAGTGGGAACCGTGGAAATGTTGCCGGGAATAGGGCGGGGGGAGAGCCGCGTCCATAAGGAAGTGCCACCCGCGGGTGGGGGGGAGGCTGGAATCCAACCAGAGACCCCCCAAAACAACAAAATCCCGTGGGAAACCCCCCCCGGGAATGGGGGTGAGGGGAAAAACCATCCCATGCAGAGGCGATCCTATGGGAAAAGCCCCAAATCCTTGTCCCAGTCCCCACGTGCCACCGTGCGGAGCTCACCTTATCCAAGCAGTTCACCTTCTCCGTGGGATACACGATCTTCCCGCAGCGCGCACAGTTGGGGTTCATGGCGGAAAACTCGCGTGGAGGAAGGAGGAAAGAAAAAAATAAAAAAAAAAAAAAATCACTCCCACCCTCCTCCTCCGCCGCCTTCTTCTTCTTCCACTGAGCCGCCGCCCGCGATGTCGCGACTTTAAATAGTCGGGAAGGGGAGGAGGCGGTGGGAAAAAGGAAAGGGGAGGGACCGCGGGGGCGGGGCGCGCACCTACGCGTGCGCGCACACGTAACGCGCGTGCGAGCGGGGTGCACACCCCCAGGGAGGCAGCGCCGAGTTGAAACACCCCTAAAAAGGGCTAAAAACGGCGTAAAAACCACAAGAAATTCGTATTGAGGGTGCGGCGGGATTCGAACCGAGGACCTTCGGGTTCGCGGCGCGGGTAGAGGCAATTCCTGGGGAAGGCACGCGGCGGACGGGGGTATAGCTCAGTGGTAGAGCATTTGACTGCAGATCAAGAGGTCCCTGGTTCAAATCCGGGTGCCCCCTCGGAGGTTGCTTTTAGTATTTTTACCCATTTTTTTCGTTTTTTTGTCGGTATTTCCGGGGGATGGGGGGGGGGTTTGAGGCAGGCAGGTCGTATTTGTACGCACGCTCAGCTTTTACTCCACAGGCAGAAAGGCGTGGAGCAAGTGGTAAAATATCACCCAGCGAGAGACGTTTGCCAGTGGGGGTATAGCTCAGTGGCAGAGCATTTGACTGCAGATCAAGAGGTCCCCGGTTCAAATCCGGGTGCCCCCTTGTTTTGCTTTATTTTTTTTCTTAATTTCTCCCATGATCCCAAGTATTCTCGCCCCAATTATCCCTGGTCGCTCATTCCGTCCCCGCCGGCCGCTCCCGGTGCTCCCGGTACCGGTGAGGGTGTCGCGGTTCCCGCCGGCGCTAGGGGGCGCCACGCGTCGAGCGAGGCGGGGCGGGCGCGTCACGTGACATCCGCCGCCTCTTCCGCCGCCAAGATGTCGAAGCGAGGTGAGGCGGGCTCCGCTCTCCGCCGCCATCCGGCTCCATCCGCCGCCATCCGGCGTCCCCGTGGCCGCCCCGGCGTAGCGGGGACCCGGGGAGAGGCGCCTGAGCCCGGGTGGGAGCGGATATCGCGGGCGATGGCGCCGTCGCCCTCCCCGTGAGGCCGCGGCCGCTCCGTGAGGCGGCACCGGGCTCTTAACGCTCTTCTCGACCCGCAGGACGCGGAGGTTCGTCCGGGGCCAAGTTCCGCATCTCGCTGGGTCTCCCGGTGGGGGCCGTGATCAACTGCGCCGACAACACCGGTGAGTGCGGGGCTGGGACCGCGGGGCGGCGGGAGGGACGGCCCGGGAACCGGGGGAGGCCCTCGGGAAAGGCCCCCTCAGTAATCCCAGGGTGAGGTGTTCAGTGAGTTCCCAAACCTCCGTTTTCCTTCTGGAATCTCTGGCTGGGCCCGTGGTAGTGGCAGCGCTGTGGGGTGTCCCTGCAGTGGGACACGGTGCACGTCCCCGGTGTCCCGGGATAAGGGCGGTGCTGCTCCCCGGTATCTCCCCGGTGTCCCGGGATAAGGGCGGTGCTGCTCCCCGGTATCTCCCCGGTATCCCGGGATAACGGCGGCGCCGCTCTCCGCAGGGGCCAAGAACCTCTACATCATCTCCGTGAAGGGCATCAAGGGCCGCCTGAACCGGCTGCCGGCAGCCGGCGTGGGTGACATGGTGATGGCCACGGTGAAGAAGGGCAAGCCGGAGCTGAGGAAGAAGGGTGAGTGGCACCACTGGCGTCCCGAATTGTCGCGGGAATCGGGGACAGAGTCCCCGCAGAGTCCCCGAGTCACCCCCCCTTCTCTAAAGCACTCGTTGGGTCCGTGCCGTGGCTCAGGGAGTTGTCGTGGAAGGGCAGAGCAAAGGCGCCGCTTTTGGGTGAAGTGGCAGCTGCTGGTGCTGTTGATTTCAATCAGCGGTGGGACACAGGGTTTGGGAATCCTGGAATGGGCTGGGTGGGATGGGACCTTCAATCCCACTTTCACTGCCCCAGGTGGCTCCAAGGCCTGGCTTTGGACACTTCCAGGGATCCAGGGGCAGTCACAGCTGCTCTGGGTAACCTGTGCCAGGGGGGAATTCCTTCCCTAAATCCCCTCCTGAGCCCAGCTGTCCATCAGTAAAAGGAGAGTGATGTCACATGGATCTATAAAATTAAAAGTTTTGGAATTATTTGGTTGGGAAGGAACCTTAAATCTCATCCAGGTCCACCTCCTGCCATAGGTTTGCTCCTACTCCAGAGGAGTTTTTGCTGGCTATTGTTTGTGAATTAATAATTTACTTCAAAATAAAGGTGCAAAAGTGGGAAAACTGGATTTTCCAAGTGTAGATGCAGCTGCAAGTATTTAATGATCAGTTTTAAGGAGACTGCTGACTATAAAGTGTAACTTTTTTTAGTAAAACACCACAAATACGAGGTGCTAAACAACCCCCACCCTGAGTCTGGGTTTGATTCCTGGGGGATCTGTGTGGAATGTGTGTTTTTCCTGAGGGCTGTGACACTTTTTCCTCCCAGTGCATCCAGCAGTGGTGATCAGGCAGCGGAAATCCTACAGGAGAAAAGATGGGGTGTTCCTGTACTTCGAGGACAACGCAGGAGTGATTGTAAATAACAAAGGGGAAATGAAAGGTGAGCCTGGCAGTTGTGTCCCATGGGGAAAAAAAAGGGAAAAAGGACTCAAGATTCCCCTCAGAGAGCGGGATTTTGGCTGGGAAATGCTGCCCTGAACCATCTGTGAGCTCTAAATCACAGAATTCCAGAATGGTTTGGTTGGAAGGGAGCTCAGAGCTCATCCCAGGGACATCTCCCACTATCCCAGGGTGCTCCAGCCTGGCCTTGGACACTTCCAGGGGCAGCCACAGCTTCTCTGGGAGTTGCATCTCAGGGATCAGGTGAGCCTCAGTGACCCTGGGGTGTTGTCCCTGTTTTCCAGGCTCAGCCATCACAGGCCCCGTGGCCAAGGAATGTGCAGATCTGTGGCCCAGGATCGCCTCCAACGCCGGGAGCATCGCCTGATCCCCACCCTGCCCCTGGCCAGGGACACAAAATAAACTCCTTGTACCAACTCCGTGGTGTTTTCATTCCAAACAGGAGCAGGGGTGTGCTGGGAGGTGATTTTATGGAGCTCCAGCTGGAAAATGGGATTGGGGGATTGAGATTCTGGTTTTCAGGTGGTTTAAATTTTAGTGTGAGGGGAGCTGGGAGGGGTCTGTGCCTTTGTGCTGGAGCTCCCAGAATTGGAGAATTCCCAGAATTTTCTTCCAGAATGGGCAATTTACCTGTTCAGAGTGAAACAGTGCCTGAGGCTGAGCTGCAGGACAGAGGGAGCTGAGGGCTGGGGACATGGGGAGGCTCTGCTGTCACCTGGGGAGTGGCTGGAGCTGAGGCCTCGGTGCCAACTGCCCCTGGAGAGCCTGGGCTGAGCCCGGGGTCAGCTGGGAACCGTCAGGAACAGAGTGGGAAGGGATGTCCAGGGAAGAGCTTGGGCTGTTTGTGGTGGTCCTGGAGCAAAAGGAGGAATGGTTTGGGTGGGAGCTGGGATTTCCTGGTCCAGAGGATGGGGGAGCCTCATCCCTGAGCCCACAGGTGACAGTGGGGTGGCTTTGGGACTCTGGTTTGGGGGCCCCAGTGCATGGAATGCCTGCCCTGGCCCCGAATCATGGGGCTGGAAAAGGGGGCAATTCCCACCTCCAGCTGTTCCCTGCTGCACTTCTGGAGATTCCTGATGATTCTGGGTCATTCCCCATGATTTTGTGCTATTCCCAACATTCCTGTGCCACCCATGATGTTCCTGTGCTGCTCCCGGTGCCTTTTGTGCCATTCCCGACATTCCTGTGCCATTCCCGACGTTTCTGTGTCATCCCTGATTCCTTTTGTACCACTCCCAACGTTTCTGTGCCATTCCTGATATTCCTGTGCAGTTCCCAATACCTTTTGTGCCATTCCCGATAATTTTGTACCATTCCCGATGTTCCTGTGCCATCCCTGATTCCTTTTGTGCCATTCCCGATGTTCCTGTGCCATCCCTGATTCCTTTTGTGCCATTCCCGATGTTCCTGTGCCATCCCTGATTCCTTTTGTGCTATCCCCTATGCCTTTTGTGACATTCCTGACATTCCTGTGCCATTCCCGATGATTTTGTGCCACTCCTGATGATTCTGTGCCATTCCTGATATTCCTGTGCCGTTCCCAATGCCTTTTGTACCATTCCCGATGTTCCTGTGCTGCTCCCGATGCCTTTTGTGCCATTCCTGATGATTTTGTGCCATTCCTTATGCCTCCTCTGCCATTCCCGATAATTTTGTGCCATTCCCGAGTTCCTGTGCCATTCCTGATGATTTTGTGCCACTCCTGATTTCCTTCTGTGCCACTCCAAACGTTTCTGTGCCATTCCCGATGTTCCTGTGCCGCTCCCGATGATTTTGTGCCATTCCTTATGCCTCCTCTGCCATTCCCGATAATTTTGTGCCATTCCCGACGTTCCTGTGCCATCCCCGATTCCTTTTTTACCATTCCCGACGTTCCTGTGCCACTCCCGGCGTTTCCGCTCCGCGGTCACTGCGGGAAGGCAGCGACACCTCCTGGATTGGGCAGCACCATCCCAGGGAAGGCTGCACAAATCCCCGCTTTGGGCGGGGTTTTTAAACCTCTCTGACCATTCCTGGATATTCCTGGATATTCCTGGCTGTCCCAGAGCCGGGTGCAGGCAGCAGGAGCAAACCTGGCCAAGGATTTGCACATGCCGGGGGTCATTGCCTCTGTTCTCCACGGGGTTTTGGAGCAGGTGAGCACACGTGGAGCCCTGCAAGGGCCCAGCTCTGCTCTGGGGGTGATCCCAACACCCCAAACCTGCAGCTGGAGGGGGTTTCTGTCTTCCCAAGCAGTGACTGTCATCCAGAGGTGCAGGTGATGCATCAGGTTTTAATTTTATATTTTTTTTTAGGTTCTGTGCTGCTTTAGTGGGTGGGTCTGGGCTTCATATTAGGGGATGCTGAGCTCTGTGCACAGAGCAGGGAGATGAAACAATTCCTGCTCCAGCTGGGGACCAAGGACAAATGATCCAAATCTCAGCCCAAGAGCACAAACCCCGTGGGCTGAAGAGAGAAAAACAAGCAGGGTGGGCTGGAATGGGACAATGAACTCCAATATGCAAATGGAGCAGAACTTATAAAAGTGAGAGACCCCATGACCAGTGGGGCATTTTGTGACCATTTTGGTTCCTTTTGGGTTCATTCTGTGACCATTTTGGGTTCATTTTGTGACCATTTTGGTTCACTTGGGGTGTAGCCCTGGCTGAGCTCTTGTGCTGCCCAAGGTGGATCCATGGAGGAGATGCTTTGAATAAATCCCTTTATTCTGCTTTATTCTAATCCCTTTATTCTGCTTTATTCTAATCCCTTTATTCTGCTTTATTCTGGCCTCACTTCTAGCTGAGCCTTCTCAAGGCATCACAGGGACCTGCTCCATGTAAGGAACCAAATAAAACCCCAATAAATCTGCTCTTGTGGGTCAGCTTTAACATTCCTGCTTTTTGAAGGATTTCTCCACGGCTTCCAGAGTTGGATGAAACATTTTGGGGGGGATTTTTGGTGTTGCAGTAATTCCTGAGCCAGGCTGGGCACACCCTGTGTGACCAAACAGAGCCTGTGGTGACATTTTGAAGTCAGTGCTGGAAATGTTCCTCTCCTTTGGCCACGTTTGGGGCTTTTTAGAGGGAATCAGGTGGGAATTCAGTACCTGCCTTAGCAGGAGCATGGTGAGAGCCCTGGTGTGAGGGCAGTGAGGGAGGGCTGGGTGTGCCAGGCAGGGCTGGGAGCGGCTGGTGTGTGACAGCCATCCCTGGAATGTGACAGAGCCACGTCAGTGACCACAGGGAGTCTCACCTGGCCACAAGGAGCCTCACCTGGTTGTACTGCACAGGTGGGGGTATAGCTCAGGGGTAGAGCATTTGACTGCAGATCAAGAGGTCCCCGGTTCAAATCCGGGTGCCCCCTCCTTTTTATGTCTTTTTATCCCCAAAAATGTGGTCGGGAGCCCGGAATTCCCAGGTTTTCCCCCCAAGCTGTGTGCAGGCCCCGTGCTGATTCCCAGCAGAGCAGCAGCAGGGGGAGTTGGTGAGGAGAGGGAGGAGGATTTTGGGAGGGTGTGGATTTTGTCCTGGGATTAATTAGCAGAACTTTGTTGGGATCAGGAGCAGGGAATTCCTGCTGGGAATGCCCATGGGAAGCAGGGGGCGTAGCTCGGGGGGAGAGGAGAGCATTTGCAGAGCAAGAGTTTCCTGATTCTCCTCCAGGTGCCTCCTCTTCTCTCCTCCTTTTCCTCTTCCACCAGCCTTCCTTCTGCCCAAATCCTTCAGGGGAAGGTTGGGAAGCTGCTGTGGGATGTGGGAGATTGTGCTGGGCAGGGAATGTGGGGTGGGAGCACCAAGGCCTGGAAAAGCACAGGGGGTGGGCACTGGGTGAGGGACCACGCACAGGAACTCCTCAGGGGAAATCTGGGCCTGCCTGAGCCTCCCCTGGGCTGAATTCTCTGTATGGAGAAATTCTGGGAATTACGGGGAAAACTGAACTTGGATCCGGGCTGGAATCCGGGCTGGGGAAAAACCGGGACTGGATCCGGGCTGGAATCCGGAATGGGGGAAATCCGGGACTGGAACTGGGCTGGAATCTGGAAGGGGGGAAAACCGGGACTGGAACCAGGCTGGAATCCGGAATGGGGGAAACCCGGGACTGGAACTGGGCTGGAATCCGGAATGGGGGAAAACCGGGACTGGAACTGAGCTGGAATCTGGAATGGGGGAAAACCGGAACTGGATCCGCAATGGGGGAAAACCGGGATTGGATCCAGGCTGGAATCCGGAATGGGGGAAAACCAGGATTGGATCCAGGCTGGAATCTGGAAGGGGGGAAAATCGGGATTGGATCTAGGCTGGAATCCGGAATGGGAGAAAACCGGGACTGGAACTGAGCTGGAATCTGGAATGGGGGAAAACCGGGACTGGATCCGGGCTGGAATCCGGAATGGGGGAAAACTGGGACTGGATTTGGGCTGGAATCTGGAATGGGGGAAAACCGGGATTGGATCTAGGCTGGAACCCGGAATGGGGGAAAACCGGGACTGGAACTGGCCTGGAATCTGGAAGGGGGGAAACCAGGAGTCTTAAAATAAGTCCTCAACATACCTCAAAAGTCCTAAAAAAGCCCCAAGAAGACCTTAAAAAACCCTAAATAATTCTAAAATGAAGTAAAAAAAGCCCTTGAAAAACCCTGAAAAAAAATCTTTTAAATGTCCTGAAAAAGTCCTAATAGTACCCTAAACATTCCCAGAAAACTCCTAAATTCCAGAAAATTCCTAAAAAACTCCTACAAAAACCCCCTAAAATATCCTTTAAAAGCCCTGATCAAAACCTAAAAAAAACAGTTCAGCCTCCAAACCCTTCCTGTCACTCTCTAGCCCACAGAGGGCGTCATCCCTACCTTTTTGCAGGGGGTCTTGTCCTACTGGGAGGGTTTTGGGGCTGTTCCATCATTAGGGTCATTGCCTGCACCTGCTGGAAGGGATTTTGGGGCTGTTCCACCATTAGGGTCCTTGCCTCACCTGCTGGAAGGGATTTTGGGGCTGTTCCACCATTAGGGTCCTTGTCTCACCTGCTGGAAGGGATTTTGGGGCTGTTCCACCATTAGGGTCATTGCCTCACCTGCTGGAAGGGATTTTGGGGCTGTTCCACCATTAGGGTCATTGCCTCACCTGCTGGAAGGGATTTTGGGGCTGTTCCACCATTAGGGTCCTTGTCTCACCTGCTGGAAGGGATTTTGGGGCTGTTCCACCATTGGGGTCATTGCCTCACCTGCTGGAAGGGATTTTGGGGCTGTCTCACCATTAGGGTCATTGCCTCACCTGCTGGAAGGGATTTGGGGGCTGTTCCACCATTAGGGTCCTTGTCTCACCTGCTGGGAGGGTTTTTGGGGCTGTTCCACCATTAGGGTCATTGCCTGCACCTGCTGGAAGAGTTTTGGGGCTGTTCCACCATTAGGGTCATTGCCTCACCTGCTGGAAGGGATTTTGGGGCTGTTCCACCATTAGGGTCAGTGCCTCACCTGCTGGAAGGGATTTTGGGGTTGTTCCACCATTAGGGTCATTGCCTCACCTGCTGGAAGAGATTTTGGGGCTGTCCCACCATTAGGGTCATTGCCTCACCTGCTGGAAGGGATTTTGGGGTTGTTCCACCATTAGGGTCATTGCCTCACCTGCTGGAAGGGATTTTGGGGTTGTTCCACCATTAGGGTCATTGCCTCACCTGCTGGAAGGGATTTTGGGGCTGTCCCACCATTAGGGTCATTGCCTCACCTGCTGGAAGGGCTGGGGAGGAGTGAAGGGCAGGTGAAGGGTGGAAATGTGAGTACAGTAAAGGGGTGAAAGGGGAGCCATGGTGGAAGAGGAGTGAGGGGAGGAGGTGAGGGTTAGGAGAGGGAAGCCCATATCTAGGGTGCCAAAGCAGCAGCAAAAAACCCCTATGGTTCCCCTGGTAGGGTAAAGTGGCTCCTGCAAACAGACATCAGGACCCTGGCCTGGTGAGTTTTCTCTGCCAGGGAAAAGGGCTGAGGTTGGTGTTTGGGGGTCTGTGGCTCCTGAAATTCCGCAGTGCTCAGGATGCTTCCAGACCCAAGCTGGCACCAGTGCCAAGTCAGGCTGCTTTGACTGTGCTAAGTGGCCACATCTCCTGACTCATGACAGAGCCCAGTTTCAAGTCCCACACCCAGGGATGATGCCCCTGATGGGCAGCATAAAACAATGTTCCCAACTACTGTCCCCAGGAGCTGTAGCCCCTGTGACCTGTGCTCCCTTCTCCCATCACAGCTCTGTTTTGCTGGTGCCTGGCTTGGGACTCCTTGTCTTGCACAGGAGACTGGACTGGACTGCACACACGTGCTAACAGTGGCTATAGGCAACTTTATTTCCACAACTAAATCAATTTCAGCATTTGTGTGCATGCAGAGGAGGAAGATGGGCAGGAGAGGGGACACCTTTGACCCTGAGGCTGCCTTTGGATCAGCAGGCACTGCCCCAGTGTGAAGTGGTCATGGTCCACTGCAGCCTGCACTGGATCTTCTTCATCCTGCTGCTTCTGTCCTGTTCCCCATGAGGCTCTGCAGCATCTGGTGCACCTGGGTTAGGAATTGCTGCAGAATCTCGTACGGATGCGGAGTGGGAAAGAGAGGTTGTGTTGGCATTGGCTCCTCAGAGGAATTTAAGGTCCAGGCTACCTCTGGCATGGCTGCTTCAGTTGGCTGCTGAGTGCTGGCTGTAGTAGAGCAGCCTGCCTCTGTGGGTGTTGGCGTTGGCTCCTCAGAAGGGGTTGAGCTGAAGGTTGGCTCTGGCGTTGGAGCCTCTGTTTCAGCTGGCGGCGGACACAGAGTGGGACTAGAGCAGCCTGATTCTGTGGGTGTTGGCTCTGGCTGCTCAAGAGGGGTTGAGATGCAGGGTGGCTCAGTGGCTGTTGCAGGTGGGCACGCGCCCATCTGGATCAGGATCCAGTTGTAGAAGTACTGAGTGGAGGTGTAGACTCCCAGCTGTTTGGCTTTTTTCGCACAGCCTTTTCCCCAGCTGGTCACTCCAACCAGCCAGAAGTAGCTGGCACGGTTATCTTTGCACACCAGAGGCCCTCCACTGTCACCCTGCAACACAGGAAGGAGGATTAGGGTGCTGTTGGGTGGCTGCTCTTGTAAGAGCCTAAATGAGGGATGCAGGACTTGAGGTGGCTCTACAAAATGCAGTTTATTGCATACAAAATGCAGTTTATTGCATACAAAATGCAGTTTATTGTATATAAAATGCAGTTTATTCCATCCAAGGTGTTACAGCAGCCCAGGGTCATGGGTGACAGAGCTGTGCCCACATCTGTCAGCTCCAGCTGCGGGCAGGCCTGGAGACCCTTTGGCTTTGGTCACAATGCATTCTATACTTTTCTTTTGGTTAAAATGCATTATTTACTTTTCTTTTGGTCACAATGCATTATTTACTTTTCTTTGCTGAGCATCTTCACACAGTAGAACCAATCTATACCTTAACTATTATCTATAGCCCATCATAACTACTGTAATTCCCATATTCATGTTAGTGTTCTCCAATCACTCAAAGTCAGTACATCACAATTTAAGCCAGAAGTTATTTTTCAGTTTTCGTGCAGTGGAAAATTCTGAGACCTTTTTTCTACTTGCAACTTTGCTGCCTTGTTTGCCTGTGCTCTCTTTGTGCTTGGTAAAAACATCTTCTTGTTTGGGGTGGGTTTATCCTTTGCTTTAATTAATAAAAGCCACTTCTAACTAACACACCCTTTGCTCCTTGGTTATCCAGTGAGACTGGCTCAGCAATTCTTTTCCTCTCTATCAAAACTTGCTTCCCTCTCTATTCCTTCATCAGACTCTACATTCCAAAATCTTTCTGCTAAGCACACATATCTGTGAGACTTCCTTGTCAAACTTTCATCCTTCCCAACATGCTCTCAGCACCAGAGGCTTGCTTTTCTCTTGCAGCCCCTGCCCCAGCTGTGTTCACGGTACAAAAAGGCTCTGCTCAGGTGCTGGAGTCTCCAGAACCTCAGCTGGGATCAGGGTGGGTGTATGTGAGGGCCCCTCTTGTGTCTGCACGGTGATCCTGGATGGGCAGAGCATGGATAATCCAGGATCTGCACCTCTGTGCTGCTGAGAGCTCTGGATGGGCTCTCTGGGCAGAGGGGCAGGCCTGGGGAACACGAGCCCTTGGCAAGGAAACTCCAGCAGAGGAGGAAAAGTGATTTTCCAGGCACAGCCCATGGTGCCAGGTACCTTTAGTGCTGGGGGCTGGCACCCAGGGCTGGTGTTCAGGAACACAATCACAGAATGATTCTGTGCAGGTGCTTTTATGGAGAGCTCTGGGTGCCAGGGGCACAGACCCAAATCTGACCCACCACGGGTTTGGGATGAATGTGTTTTATATTCTATCATTATATAACTACATCTTAATAATTAAACTTACATTGTTCTATTGATACTACAAAATCACAATACAATGCTCTATTACATTGTTCTATACATTGATTTCATCCAAGCATGGGTTTCTTGTGATCCCCCTCAAGCCCTTGAACATAGTTTCTCATGATTAAACAATAATTATATCTAATTACTAAGCAATCATCACATCTAACAATTATATAATTTATCATACACTGACTACACAGGTGCAGTTTCACATGATCTAGCAAACACAAGGCCTAACATTAACATTTTCCTTTAACATTTTCCTAACCTTTAACATTTTCCCAGGGCCTACTAATCCTAGCTTTTTTTCTCTGAATTTTCTGTGATTTTAAAATCTTTTACTATCACTGTGTAAAACGCCAATCACTTGTTTTTAGAATTTTAAAAGTTTAACAGTAATAAAATGGTTATAAAAATAGTAATATAATTAGAGTAATAAAAATTTGAACAATTGAGATTAGGACAATATGAGACAATAAAAAAACAGTGTTACGGACAGTCGGGGTACCTCTTTCTGGGCATAGTAAGTCCAAAAAAGGACCCATGTTAACAGAGGACTAAAAGCTTAAAAGCAATAACCTGTTGTGTATTCATGCACCTCATACATGATGCATAAATTCTGTTAAAACACAGGATTCTGTCTGGTCATCATCAACTTCTTCCTCTGAACCCTAAGGTGTCTTCAGAGCTGAGCGAGGCAGGAAGAAGTTTGTTTCTTCTGATAATGGAGGAATAAATCCTCTTTCTTTGAAAGATTTAGGTGTGCTGTGGCTGCTATCTCAGTGTGAGTACCTCATTCCTCTCTTAAAAAAATATCCCACACACACAGTTTCTATTTTAACATTATGTTATAACCTAAAACTATAATTAACATGCTACTTGAGAAAATTAATACAGCAATATATAATTAATACAAAAAATTAATACAGCTTTCTAACATAACACATAGAATATTCATTTTCATATTTGCGAAAATCATAAAATACACATTTTTCACCAACAAAAAAGTGAAGTCCTACCTGGCAGGTGTCCATGGCACCCCGGGGGTAGCCAGCACACAGGTTGTGGGTGTGGATGGCCCCGGCGTACCAGCGGCTGCTGTTGACCAGCCGGACATCCAGGAGCCGGACCTTGGCTTCCTGCAGGACATCACTGGCACCCTGAGCTGGGAGCACAGCAAGGAATGAGCACCCAGAGCTCCCTGCCACCTCCACGCCCCTGTCTGCGGTGAAGGCATTCCCCTTTGGCGCTGGCCGGGGGCTGTACACAATGTGCAAATGTGCACCATGTACACAATGCACACAATGTGCAAATGTACACAACGTACAAATGTGCACAATATACAAATGTACACAATGTGCAAATGTACACAATGTACACAATGTACAAATGTGCACAATGCGCAAATGTGCACAATGTACAAATGTACACAATGTACACAATGCACAAATGTACACAATGTGCAAATGTACACACTGTGCAAATGTACACAAGGTACACAATGTACACAATGTGCAAATGTACACAATGTGCACCATGTACAAATGTACACAGTGTACAAATGTGCACAATGTACAAATGTACACAATGTACAAATGTACATAAGGTACACAATGTGCAAATGTACACAATGTGCAAATGTACACCATGTACACAACGTACAAATGTACACAACGTACAAAAGTACACAATGTACAAATGTACACAATGTACACAACGTGCAAATGTACACAATGTACACAAGGTACAAATGTACACAATGTACAAATGTACACAATGTACACAATGTACAAATGTACACAATGTACAAATGTACAAATGCACACAATGTACACAATGTACACAATGTACAAATGTACACAATGTACACATGTGCAAATGTACACAATGTACAAATGTACACAATGTACACAATATACAAATGTACACAATGTACACAATGTACACAATGTACAAATGTACACAATGTACACCATGTGCAAATGTACACAATGTACAAATGTACACAAGGTACAAATGTACACAATGCACACAATGTACAAATGTACACAATGTACACAATATACAAATGCACACCAGGTACAAATGTACACAATGTACAAATGTACACAATGTGCAAGTGTACACAATGTACAAATCACAAACGGGACGGGGCTGCTGTGGAACGTGCCTGGAGCTGTTGTATTTTCCAGCATCAGTCTCATTACATGGTTATGACAATGGGAAGATGCCACCAGCTCACATCCCAGGCAGCAGACTAAGAACTTAATGTTACAACTCACTTTATAAGTTTTTTGACTGATCACACAAAGCAAAAGCACATTGACAGTAGTTCTATCCAACCACTATAAGCACAGGTACCTGTGGTTAAAACAATGCTTGCTTATTTTGAATACAATACCTGCTTGTAAGCTTTAAAACACAATGCACAGAGCTCCATTATTAAGCTTCAAACTTCTTAATATCTTGCTAGATAAACTTTTCTGTAGCTTGGAGAGTTATTCTAGACAAGCGTTAATACACAGCTCATTGTTCTATTTGTCCTTGGTTTTCTACAGTTTAAATAATTTTTCTGCTGACCTATCTCATGGCTGCTGCTTAGCTCTACTCACAGTTTTGCTGTATCTGAGGCCTGCCTTTTGCAGTTTTCCCAAAACCCTCTGATTTTGTGGATTCCCACACCCAGGGCTTGGCTTTGCCTCTGGAGCAGCTGTTGAAGGGCTGTACCCTATAGGAATGTGCCCCATGTTGATGGAGTGACAAAACTCTCCTTTGTCTCCTTAAAAAGGAAATAAGCCCAGAAGTTTCTCTCCTCAATTAGGTGAAAAGACACCTCATAGGACCTGGGGGGACTTCACCTTAAACTTAAGGATGGCCAATTGGACAGGAGCCAAAAAATCCTGTCTGAGCAATTTACTAGAAAAAGAAGAGAACAAAGAAACCAATGGCTTTTGTGAGGTGTTTTACCAGGAGCAAGGACCTCTTGCACCTGGCTCGGTTTTTCTCTATAAAGAGTTTTGTTATTTTGCCTTTTATTAAACCTTTTTGTTTCCAACACTACCACAGAAGCCATCCTGCTGATTTTATGCCTCCAAAGATAGCTGAGCTATCTTGGGTGTGAAATAGATCTCCAAGAGCTGATGAGACCTGGTGTTGGAAAAGGCATCTTGTGCTGTTCTTGTGAGCCAGCCAAGGCTTCCTGAAGATAAGGAAAGCCCCGTATCGCTCCTGAGGAAGACACCAAGGCTGTCACCATGGAGAAGTGATGAAGGATAGAATGTTGAGGTACAGACTTTGGCTGGCTCACAGAATGACATGGCTCCTTGTTCACCTACTGAGAACTGTGTTTCTTTCTTATGACCAATGGGCAGTGAACGTGTCTGCTAAGTAAATGTAAATATCTTGAAAAACTATAAAAGCAACATGTTGCTATAATAAATCCCTCTTACACACCTTTCTGATGGGGGTCTTGGTGTGTGATGGGGGTCTTGGTGTCACGCTCTATAGCGACAACCTGGCTCAAGGAGAATCACATTTCACTGCCCTTTCTGCCCTTGGGGAGCAGGCCAGGCACACCTCTCCAGAGACATACATCCTACAGCCTGACTTTGGTCTCTGATGTCTGGATTCCTCCCAGGGGGAAGGAATGGGGAAGAAGGTAAGGGAGTAGAAGTCTATTTTTAGGCTGATGGGGATTTGGAAGTTTATAATGAATTTTCATTCTCAGAAGGAGGCGAGGCTTTCTGTTCTGGAGTGAATGTAGATTGTTATTGGGATTAGGCTGATGAAGAAGGAGGTTTTGACTGTGTTTGTAATTGTGTTGGGGGTGTTCTTGAGGTTGCTGGATAGAAGTGGGAATAAGATGGGGGTGGAGATGTGAGCCCAGAGGGAGGAGCCAAGCATTGCTACCCAGATATAATCCAGAGGTTTGGAGACACCAGCACAGCTTCTCCCCTGGATTCCCCAGAGGAACAGCAGCTGCCTCTTCCTCCACTGGATCTTCAGAGGCAGAATCCATCCTTCTCTACAGGACCCCTGCTCCAGCAGATCCAGCCCTGATACTTCAAAAAAACTGCAGCCACAATTCCAATGGGACTGCTGCCAACACCCCACAGGGTGTCAGGCTGGGTTCTGACTCTGTCACTATTGTTCTGGTGTACTGCATTGTTTATTTTATCTTTTAATTTTTTTTCCTTCCCTATTAAAGAACTGTTATTTCCTGCTCCCATTTTTTTTTGCCTGAGAGCCCCTTAATTTAAAATTTATAGCGATTCAGAGGGGTGGGGAGGGTTTACATTCTCCATTTCAGGGGAGGCTCCTGCCTTCCTTAGCAGACACCTGGCTTTCCAAGCCAAGACAGCCCAGCTCACCCTCAGGTCCCTTTTTGGGAGCTCACCTTTAGCACTGGCAGAACTCCAGCCAGCCTTTGGGGAACAGACCAGGCACACCTCTCCAGAGGCATACTGACTTTGGTCTCTGCTGTCAGGAAGCCCAGCCCATTCCTCCAGTATGCCCAGCTCACTCTGAGGTCCCTTTTTGGGAGCTCACCTTTTGCACTGGCAGAACCCCAGCCAGCAATGTAGGAGGTTTTCTACCTTTCTGCCCTTGGGGAGCAGGCCAGGCACTCCTCTCCAGAGACATACATCCTACAGCCTGACTTTGGTCTCTGCTGTCTGGATTCCTCCCAGGGCGTGCCCAGCTCACCCTCAGGTCCCTTTTTGGAAACTCACCTTTAGCACTGGCAGAACTCCAGCCAGCAATGTAGCAGGTTTTCAGCTCCGACACCGTGAGCGAGGCGTTGGGCACGCAGGCGAGCTGCACGTAGTCGCTGCACTCCACGGGCTGGTCCAGCTCCAGCAGGGCGATGTCATTCTGCTGGGAGTCAGCCGTGTACTCCTGGTGGGCCAGCAGCCTCTTGACGTGGCGCACCTGAGCCTCGGGGCCCAGGTGGCTCAGCTGGGTGGCCCCGATCAGCACGCGCCACTTGGTGACGTTCCTGCAGGGCAGAGACGGGGCTGAGAGGGAGCAGAGCCGGGTGCTGGTGGTGCCTTGGGATTTGAGCTTTGGTGTTTTCCATCTGTGACCGTGTTCGGAGGGGTCTTAGGATGAGGGAAGAGACGAGGATCTGACTCCATGTTTCAGAAGGCTTGATTTATTATTTTATGATATATATTATATTAAAACTATACTGAAAGAATAGAAGGAAGGATTTTGTGGGAATCTACAAAATTAGGGGGTTTTGGGAAAGCTGCAAGATGCAAGCATCAGATACAGCAGAACTGTGAGTAGAGCTAAAGCAGCAGACCAAAAAACTTCATGTTACAACTCACTTTGTAAGCTTCTTGACCAATCACACAAAGCAAAAGCACATTGACAGTGGTTCTATCCAATCACCATAAGCACACGTGCCTTTAGTTACAACAATGCTTGCTTATTTCAAATACAATACCCACTTGTAAGCCTTAAAACACAATGCACAGAGCTCCATTATTAAGCTTTAACTTTCTTAATATCTTGCTAGATAAACTTTCTGCAGCTTAGAGAGCTATTCAGACAAGCGTTAATACATAGACCATTGTTCGTTTTGCTCTTGCTTTTCTACAGTTTAAATAATTTTTCTGCTGACCAATCTCATGGCTGCTTCTTTAGCTCTACTCACAATTCTGCTGTATCTGAGGCTTGCATCTTGCAGCTTTCCCAAAACTCTCTAATTTTGTGGATTCCCACAATTCCCCCTCTCTGTTCACCCAAAAAGAAACCTTCATAATCGTGTCATTTATTACTTGCATTTCATAGGAATGATAACAAAGGCTTGTGTCTCAGACAGAGTCTGAGCCAGCTGACTGTGATTGGCCATTAATTAGAAACAACCACATGAGATCAATCCCAGATGCACCTGTTGCATTCCACAGCAGCAGATAACCATTGGTTACATTTTGTTCCTGAGGCCTCTCAGCTTCTCAGGAGGAAAAAATCCTAAGGAAAGGATTTTTCATAAAAGATGTCTGTGACATTCATCTATTTGTAATCCTGCATGTAATAGATGATGTGTGTAAATTCGTGCTGAGGCTACAGTAATCTCACCTGATGAAAGTCCTGGCATACCAAAGGAGAGTTCTGGTGTTAGGAAAATTAATCCACAAACACCAGAGGTTTATGTCCAAAAAGGAGACAGAGGAGTCCTTTTGCTTTATTCCAATAAACGGAGAGGCCATGGGGCATTCCCCTGGGATCTCTCAAGTTTTTGGAGGATGCAGCCGCCTTTTTATCCCAATTTCCCTTCTCTCTTTCCCCATTGGCTGAGGTACTTGAGAAGTACAGACTCCCCAGTATGCCTGATACCAAAGATTTCCCTCTAATGTATAACCCTCCCTTTTAAATTTTAATTCTTATGGAATTTGGGGTTTTTCTTCCCCATTAGCTGAGGTACTTGAGAGGTACAGACTTCCCGATATGCTTGATACCAAAGCTTGATTGATATGCTTGATTTCCCTCTAATGTATAATATAATGAGGGGACTTTGTCTGCCCAAAAAAAGTACCTGAAGTCCCTTCAATAAATAGAACCACTTTTTATCCCTTGTCTGGCCTGTTTTTAGGTAGTCCCAAAGGGCATCACTGTGGTAGCTCAGCACTTTCCTGCCTTCTGAGCAGGGAAGGAGTGTGACTGCCCTAGCACGCCTTAGGCCCCAGGAATGCCACTCTGGAGGCTCCTGGGCAGCAGTGGCACCAGCCCAACCTTCTGATGGGCTCTGCAGTGCCAAGGCACTGGGCACACTGCAAGGAAACAGCAGGGGAGCAGGATGTGGTGCTGCAGGCCGGGCAACTCTTTGTGTGCTGAGGACACCCTCATTCCTTCCCTGCTCCTTGTTACGTTGTGATTTCAGGGTTTACCTCGGAACCTCGGGTCCCTGCCCTGATCATTCCCTGCCAGGTGTGTCAGTCACCTCTCCTTCCCCTCCCAGCACTGTCTGTCAGTCCTGGCATTCCAGAAGGGCATCAGTGACTGGCAGATTCAAAGGATGCCCTCTACCCCTGGGGGGCATTGGGCCATCCAGGTGTCCTTTGTCCCTTTGTCCCTCCCCTCCTGTCCCTGCTTGGTGCCTCCCTGCCCCTTCCCTGCCCCTCTCCCCGGGGTTCAAAGGAGCAGCAGCCACGGGCTCAGGGAGTTCTGTGGGAGCTGGTGCTGGATTCAGAGGCCTGAGGGCCAGAATAAAGCTCTGGATCCAAACCCTCCATCAGAACCGACTCCTTTCCTTCACCATCACCTTAAAGCTTCTCCACAGAGGGAAACCTGAGGAGCAGCCCCTGTTATGGGGGGAAGCTCCATCCCAGCAGCACCAGAGCTCCTGCAGGCCTGGACTTGTCTGCAGGGCCCAGCTGCAGCACCCAGCCAGCCAAAAGTGTCTGTGGGGTGAAACACCACACACCCAGGCAGCCAAAAGTGTCTGTGGGGTGAAACACCACACACCCAGCAGCCAAAAGTGTCTGTGGGGGGAAACACCACACACCCAGCCAGCCAAAAGTGTCTGTGGGGTGAAACACCACACACCCAGGCAGCCAAAAGTGTCTGTGGGGTGAAAACACCACAGTGCTGCTGTTTGGTTCAGCACCAAGGGCCAGACAAGCTCAGGCACGTCCTGTCCAGCAATATTGGTAATTATTCCAATATCTCCTCCTTACCTGGCCTGGAGGAAGCAGTGGGCTGCTGTGAGGACCCACTGTGGGCTGATGAGGGACCCTCCACACGTGTGGCCGCTGCCATCTTTCCTGGGGTCCTGGATGCTGACAATCCAGGGCCAGGCCCCCGGCAGGGCGCCTGTGCCAGCCATGATTCTGTAGTCAGCAGCTATGGAGTTGTAGTCAGAAGCCATGGGCCGCTGCCCACAGGTCCCTCTGGAAGGACAAAGTCATTAGAGTGATCAAGTTCTGGAATGTTCTGCCCGGGGAGGTGATGGAGTCACCGTCCCTGGGTGTGTTTAACACAAGCCTGGATGTGGCTCTGGGTGCCAGGGTTTGGTTGAGGTGTCAGGGAATGGGTTGGACTCGATGGTCTTGAAGGTCTCTTCCAATCCTGTGATTCTGTGATTTCCCCCAGCTCTGCTGGGTGCCATCCCTGGGGGTGTTTAACAAAGCCTGGATGTGGCTCTGGGTGCCAGGGTTTATTGAGGTGTTGGGGCTGGGTTGGACTCGATGATCTTGGAGGTCTCTTCCAGCCTGGTCATTCTGTTCTGTTCTTTGTGCTCACACCATTCCCACGAGGTCATTTCCTCTGCAGGGCTCAGCAGTGACACCAGGACAAGAGGACACAGCCTCCAGCTGTGCCAGGGGGAGTTTAGGCTGGGCATGAGGAAAAAATCCTTCACAGAAAGAGAGAGTGGGCACTGGAATGTGCTGCCAGGGAGGTGGGCACTGCCCTGAGGTGTTTAAACAAGGCTGGGTTGGCTCTGGGTGCCAGGGTTGAGGAGTTTGGGCTGGGTTGGACTCGATGATCTTGAAGGTCTCTTCCAACCTGGTCATTCTGTGAATTCTGGGAATTTTGGGACTGGGGAGGTGGTGGAGTCACCATCCCTGGGTGTGTTTAACAAAGCCTGGATGTGGCTCTGGGTGCCAGGGTTTGGTTGAGGTATCAGGGAATGAACTCAATGATCTTGCAGGTCTCTTCCAACCCAAAATTCTGTGAATTTTGTGTTATTCTGTGATTACTGCCCTGCCCAGCAGCTGCTGCTGCTCCTGTTGGCTCCTTCTGCCCCCTCCCACATGGGGTTTGGGGTGTGACAATGGGGGACAAGCCCCCTCCCAGAGCCTGGGGCCGTACCTGCAGTTGTCCCAGGTGCCATGTGCAGGTGTGTACACAGCCAGGAGGATGAGGAGGTACAGCAGGCTCATCACTGCCAGCTGAAAGAAACAAAATCTTGTCTCTTCCAGGGCAGCCTCTGAGCCGAGTGCCCGCAGCAGCTGCACTGCCCCTGGCACCTGCAGCCCTGGGGCTGATGTCACAGACTGGGTGGTTCCAGGTTCTGGGCATGGCGGCCTCAGAGGGCAGGGAAAGGCCACAGCCTCAGAGGAACACAAGATGGTTTGGGCTGGGAGGGACCTTGAAGGTTGCGCAAGGAAAAAGGGGTCCCGTGCCTGCAAAATGACATCATGGGCAGAAAAATCTGGCACAAAGGGAGAGTCACTCCAAAGGCTCCCCCCAATGGAGCAGAGGGACACCCAGGTTCACCAAAAGGAGAAGAGGGACACCTGGGTTCCTCAAAGGGAGCAGGGGGACACTCAGGTTCACCAAAAGGAGAAGAGGGACACCTGGGTTCACCCCAGGGAGCAGGGGGACACCCAGGTTCACCAAAAGGAGCAGAGGGACACATGGGTTCCTCAAAGAGAGCAGGGGGACACTCAGGTTGCCCTGAAGGAACAGAGGGACACTCAGGTACCCAAAAAGGAGCAGAGGCACACCCAGGTTCCCCTGAGGGAGCAGAGGGACACCCAGGTTCCTCAAAGAGAGCAGGGGGACACCCAGGTTCCCCTGAAAAGGAACAGAGAGACACACAGGTACCCAAAAAGGAGCAGAGGCACACCCAGGTACCCCAAAAGGAGCAGAGGGACACCCAGGTTCCCCTGAAGGAGCAGAGGGACACACAGGTACCCCAAAAGGAGCAGGGGCACACCCAGGTACCCCTGAGGGAGCAGAGGGACACTCAGGCTCCTCTAAGGGAGCAGAGGCACACCCAGGTACCCCAAAAGGAGCAGAGGGACACCCAGGTTCCCCTGAAGGAACAGAGGGACACCCAGGTACCCCAAAAGGAGCAGGGGCACACCCAGGTTCCCCTGAGGGAGCAGAGGCACACCCAGGTACCCCAAAAGGAGCAGAGGGACACCCAGGTTCCCCTGAAGGAACAGAGGGACACCCAGGTACCCCAAAAGGAGCAGGGGCACACCCAGGTTCCCCTGAGGGAGCAGAGGGACACTCAGGTTCCCAAAAAGGAGCAGAGGGACACTCAGGTTCCTCAAAGGGAACAGAGGGACACTCAGGTTCTCCCTCTTTTAGGGAGCAATTGGGATCCAAATTCTGTTTTGTTTAAGGCTGTCAGGGCACCTTCCTGGGCACTTACCCTTTGATTTTTATCTAAATCTGCAGTGGTTTTGATGAGGCATCAAAATGAAGTGCAGAAAGCAGATCTTCCTCCCCTAAAACTGCAGCTTCCCCCCAGCTCAGAGGGAGCAGAATAAACCTTTGCTGGGAGCAGTTTTGTCACAGTGCCCATCACCTGGATCCTCTGGAGAAAATCCCAATCCTTGGCCGGCCATATGGATACAACAATCACAATATAACAATTGAGTTTTTTCTGTCATGTACTTCTTTATCTTCTGGTTTCTGCACAATGTCCTTGAGAGCTTTAAATTCTGCATTCCTCGTGTCCCATTTCAGCAATATATCTCTGTCTCTCTTCAGACTTTGTTCATTGAGGCATGTCAAGGTTGGTTTAATAAAACTTTTGAGTGTTGGTAATTTTTCCAGTAATTTTTCCAAACTTTGTTCCCGAAGTTAAAAGTGAATTAAAACTAATTAAAAGTAGTTTTAAGTTTTTAGATTAAAATCTGCCATGCCCCCCTGTGGCAGTGGTCACAATTAATGTGAGAACTACACATTTCTTCTTTCTTAGGGATAGCAGCATTTGACAAACTTGGGAGAACAGAGGACATCTAAACTACAATAACAGAGCTATACATCACTAAAGCTTTTTTAATATTCACACAATAGTTCTCTTTTCTTGATCCTGATCTGGGGCTGCTGTGGGGCTTGCAGGGAAAAAGGGCAATTATTGCCTGGATGGAAGTGAGAAGAAGAACCTAATTGCTAAATTAACATAAATGTAAATAGAGTTTGTGGTGGTGCTGTGATGGTTCTGGCCCCTCCTGCCTGTGCCTCAGACTCTCCCCAGCAGGAGGGTGCTTGGTGGGCCCTGATCTCCAAAAATCCATCCTTGCTTTCACAGCCTTGTGACAGAACTTGAACCCCAGTTCAGGTGGGGGTGATGCCTTTTGGGACTACCTAAACACAGAGGCCACACACAATTAAGGGAATAAAAAGTGATTCTATTTATTGAAGGGCCTTCAGGTGCATTTTGGGCAGGTGAAGTTCCCCCAGGTGCTACACCCAAAAATGGACTATGGGTCATGGATTTTTATATTTTTATAAGTTTGGTCCTTTTGCTTTTTGGGGGTTACAATTACAGATGCATCTAATGAAGTCATTTACCCCAAGTTTGCTCCCCCCAACTCACTTTTGCTCACATCTCTCATGGCCTGAGGCAGTGAGGTGTCCTTGGAGAGGAATTGTTGTGTCTGACCAGAATGGGAAAGCAGCAGCTCACTCTGTGTATGGAGTTTAGAGTTATACAGGAAAGAATTGCAGGATTATAAATAGAGGAAAAATACAAAAAGCTAAAATCTGAAGGCATCAGGGGTGAATAGCAGCCTCCTTGGAGCACGAGGAACACCAACTGCTGCTCAGAGGCTGCTCACAACACCAGAGCACGGCCCAAAACCGCGTGGATCAAATGCAGCAGGAGCAAAACTGCCTCCAGCTGTCCTGAGTGGGAATCTGGCTAAAGCTGAGTCTGATCCAACCCAGCCTAACCCAGCCTGGAGGAAGGAGTCCATGTGAAGCTGCTGAAAAGCTGCCCAGGAGAGGCAGCAGCTGGGTGGGGCAGCCAAGTTCACCCAGCTCAGGCTCTGCAGGGCCCCTTTGGTGGGGCTGGCCCGGGTCAGCCTGGGGGTACCTTGAGGGCTGATAAAATTCACTGCGTTGTGTTTGCCCAATTATCCCATCATAAAAAACCAAACCATATTTGAGGTAGCAGCAATTTTATTTGAATAGTTTAGAAAATATATATTGACAATATAGTTTGATTAAAAATAAGGGATGATTTGGTTCCAACAATGGCACATAAGCAAAAGATAACCATGGGGTACGGAGTGCAGGGCTCTGGTCCCTTGCCACCTCATGTACGAGCTTGCCAAGTGAAGATTCCCCCTCATATGCCCTGTGTCAATGCCATCTCCTCCCATTTTCGATTCATCACACTTCTACCTCCGCCCTCATCACCACCTTTGCAATGCATGCTCCACCGCTCGTTTTGGTGGTCGCACAAGTCTTTGGGGGCTGTTTTTGATGAAGGCCTCTCCTCTTCTTCAATGTCCTTCAACTCACCCTTGGGTTACACATGCACACCAAGCCAGTACAATGTAAGCCAAAACTAACATATTACTACATTTAAGCATCAAAGTGTTATGTTTGCCCAATTATCCCATCATAAAAAACCAAACCATATTTGAGGTAGCAGCAATTTTAATTGATAGTTTAGAAAATATATATTGACAATATAATTTCATTAAAATAAGGGATGATTTGGTTCCAACAATGGCACATAAGCAAAAGATAACCTCGGGGTAAGGAGTGCAGGGCTCTGGTCCCCTGCCACCTCACGTACGAGCTTGCCAAGTGAAGATTCCCCCTCATATGCCCTGTGTCAATGCCATCTCCTCCCATTTTTGATTCATCACACTTCTACCTCCGCCCTCATCACCACCTTTGCAATGCATGCTCCACCACCCATTTTGGTGGTCACACAAGTCTTTGGGGGTCATCACTGATGAAGGCCTCTCCTCTTCTTCAGTGTCCTTCAGCTCACCCTTGGGTTACACATGTGCACCAAGCCAGTACAATGTAAGCCAAAACTAACATATTCCTACATTTAAGCATCAAAGTGTTATGTTTGCCCAATTATCCCATCATAAAAAACCAAACCATATTTGAGGTAGCAGCAATTTTAATTGATTGGTTAGGAAATATATCTTGACAATATAATTTCATTAAAAATAAGGGATAATTTGGTTCCAACAATGGCACATAAGCAAAAGATAACTGTGGGGTATGGAGTGCAGGGCTCTGGTCCCCTGCCACCTCACATACGAGCTTGCCAAGTGAAGATTCCCCCTCATATGCCCTGTGTCAATGCCATCTCCTCCCATTTTCGATTCATCACACTTCCACCTCCGCCCTCATCACCACCTTTGCAATGCATGCTCCACCACTCGTTTTGGTGGTCACACAAGTCTTTGGGGGTCATCACTGATGAAGGCCTCTCCTCTTCTTCAATGTCCTTCAACTCACCCCTGGGTTACACATGCACACCAAGCTAGTATAATGTAGGCCAAGACTAACATAATATTATATTTAAGCATCAAAGTGTTGTGTTTGCCCAATTATCCCATCATAAAAAACCAAACCATATTTGAGGTAGCAGCAATTTTAATTGATAGTTTAGAAAATATATATTGACAATATAATTTCATTAAAAATAAGGGATGATTTGGTTCCAACAATGGCACATAAGCAAAAGATAACTGTGGGGTACGGAGTGCAGGGCTCTGGTCCCCTGCCACCTCACGTACGAGCTTGCCAAGTGAAGATTCCCCCCTCATATGCCCTGTGTCAATGCCATCTCCTCCCATTTTCGATTCATCACACTTCCACCTCCGCCCTCATCACCACCTTTACCACGCATGCTCCACCACTCGTTTTGGTGGTCACACAAGTCTTTGGGGGCTGTTTTTGATGAAGGCCTCTCCTCTTCTTCAGTGTCCTTCAACTCACCCTTGGGTTACACATGCACACCAAGCCAGTACAATGTAAGCCAAGATTAACATAATATTATATTTAAGCATCAAAGCAATAAATCTCTTATAACTGGCATTTTCCTGGGACCCAACCAGATTTTCCTTTCTTTCTGTTAATTTTTAGTAACTGTTATCTCTTGCTTTTTCCTGCCTTGAACATCTGCAGAAAAGGGGTGGGGGTGTGGAACCCCTCCTCTCCCTTTCTTTCT